TGCTAACTGGTTTGTAATATCTGAGTTTGGCAGCCCTGACGTACCTCAAATCAATATGTAATTTAAATTAATAATTATTTGCTGTTCCAGGTAGTAAAGGGCAAAAACATAGGATTGACGTGCTATATAATCCTTTGGGATTTAAAGATGCACCTCCCAGCATTGTTGATTTACAAATTACCTTTTTGTTGTGGATGTACATAAATATGTACATTATAGACATGTCGTACACGACATTAACCAAGGTAGATCGTGACGGTCAATGCTTTAACTTCATAACGTCATTAACAAAAATATTTCGAACCAATTCAGGGCCAGTTCATTTCTTTTTATTTTTATAGTAATACTACATTAGACCTTATACATTACCGTAACCCTTATAACACTGATCATGACCTGGTTTTTAAGATTTTTAATTTATTATGAGGATTATATTTGTATACGCTTTACATATTTTAATTTATTTAATCGGAACCGAATTGAGATTTGATTTCATAAGCTGACAATTAAACAGATCATTAAATTAATCGATAATTATAATAAGTACTATATTATCAGTGTGTTATTATACAAGGTTCCTAGTGACAACTAGAAACAATGAAATGGTGGAAACCTTATTCAGTTTTGGAGACAAAAAATCCCATAACTTATGTTCTAAACCTAATTTTTTATATTAAACTAGAAAATTGCGTGCTACCATCCTCAGATTCACAGTACGTGTTAAAAATAGTGAAAAAGATCAGTGTTTCATAGCATTACGTTATAATATGTCCGATATGCATAAATAAAATATCACTCTACACAATAACAACCATAAAATTATTGTTCGCGTATTCTTCGCGCTTAATATTTTATTCAATGAAGGTAAAGGTAAGCTCCTCTTTAATCATCACGTTATTATTGTTATTATATCGTGTTTCAGAACAAAATCTGTAATTCATTACATCTTCATTAATAATATAACACTCCAATTAAACCAAACCGACAAATAACAATGTTTCCCCATTTTACTCGAGAAACATAAAATGTATCATCTACAGGGTAGTCTATAATCTGCCATACTGGACGTAAAGCACTTTTATTGAAATAAAAGTACCAAAGTGACAATTCAAATCGTATTTATGTGTTTGTTCGTTTTTGATAAAAGAACATCTCGGGAGTTAAAAATAACACTTTACTCGCCGAAATTAGAGCTTAAACAGCACTTAATCCACGTCGTTCAAAAACTAGGTACATTTAATCAGTCTGGAATTAAGAGTGGCATTTTAAACCCGGATACACTTTACTTTTTGAAGCTAACGATTAAAGCCTATATTTTTATATGTGGAGTACAATTTATCCAACTATTAAAGTCCTTTTCCTTTCATTCTATTTTTAACTTTCTCCAAAAGAAGATTAAAAGTGACACTTTACTTTTTCAAGTCTTAAAGCAGTACTTTTTATCCACCAAGTACAATTTAGTTAACTATTGCTATTTTATTCTCTTCATTTTTTAAGATATCGTGGGCACATTATTCTCTTCAACAAGATTAAAAGTGACACTTCACTCCTTGAAATTAAGGCTTATAGTAATACTTCTTGTCTTTATTCACCGAGTACAATTATTTATGGAACTACTTCTTCACATTAAGAGGGGAATATCACTCTGTTCATAAGAAAATTAAAAGCGACACTTTTCTTTCTGCAGGTAAGACTTAAAGCAGCACTTTTAATCAAACAAGTGCAATTTGTCCAACTATTAAAACTTTATTCTATTTTTAAGATTTCACGTGGAATCTTTTCCAGAAGATTAAAAGTGACACTTTACTTTTTGAAGCTAACGATTAAAGCTGTACCTTTTATATATGGAGTACAATTTATCCAACTATTCTTCTACAAAAGAAGATTGAAAGTTATACTTTACTTTTTAAAGTTTTAAAGCAGTACTTTGTCTCCACCAAGTGCAATTTAGGCAACTATTGCTATTTTATTCTATTCATTTTTTAAGCTGTAGTGGGCACATTATTCTCTTCATCAAGATTAAAGGCGACACTTCATTCCCTGAAATTAAGGCTTATAGCAGTACTTTTTATCTCCATAAAGTGAAATTTATGCACTTTTTCACATTAAGAGAGAAATATCACTCTTTTCATCAGAAAATTAAAAGCGACACTTTTCTTTCTGCAAGTAAGACTTAAAGCAGCACTTTTAATCAAACATGTGCAATTTGTCCGACTATTAAAACTTTTTTCTATTCTTAAAATTTCAAGTGGAATATAGCTCTCTTTTCTAGAAGATTAAAAGTGACAGACTCTTTACTTTTTGAAACTAATGCACTTTTTACCCACGAGAGCAAATTATCAAACTATTAAAATTTGATTCTATCTTTTTTAACGTTTTAAATGGAATATCGCTCTCTTTATCAAAAGATTAAAAGTGACACTTTACTCCCTTAAACTAAGGTTTAAAGCAGACACTTTTCTTTCCGCAAGTAGGACTTAAAGCAGCACTTTTAATCAAAGAAGTGCAATTTGTCCAACTATTAAAACTTTATTCTACTCTTAAGATTTTAAGTGGAATATAGCTCTCTTTTCCAGAAGATTAAAAGTGACACTTTAATTTTTGAAACTAATGCATTTTTTACTCACGAGAGCAAATTATCAAACTATTCAAATTCAATTCTATCTTTTTTTAACGTTTCAAAAGGAATATCGCTCTCCTCATCAGAAGATTAAAAGTGACACTTTACACCCTTAAACTAAGATTTAAAGCAGCACTTTCTATACACCGAATCCAACTAATAAAATTCTATTATATTCTTAACGTTTCGAGAGGCATATCGCCCTCTTTATCAGAAGAAATAATATGAACTGATTATGTATTGTTATCATACTTGCTTAGCATACAGAATGTCCAGAAACAAATGGGTCATAGTTCAAGGGTTCTTGGATAAAAATAAATAATCTAGACAGAGATAAAGATAGATATCGAGATCTAGGTCAAGTTACCTTAGTACAATTTTGCTGCCTTAAAATGCGAGCCTTCAAAAAAATATATTTGGAGATATTTTAATGAAATTTGATATTATTGGGGCAGCTGAAAATAAACATTTGCTTCTTTCTTACCTACAGAGTATACGTCGCTGAAAGAATACGTGAGTCTTTTTTTTCTTTGTAGAAATATTTAAATGGGTCTATCTATAACCTCTTGTGGGTTTCGCGTTGGCTTTGAAACATCTTGTATAAGGTACTCAGATATTTTTTATAATAACCCATATTTAAGTGTACAGGGTGATTCACTATATTTTGACCCCCTCTTTAACTTGTTTGTTTTAAGAGTTATAAAAAAATGTGAAATACAAAAGTTGCACGATTTTTTATGAAGTTTTCGGAAATGATAGTAGAAAAACAAATGAAGTTCAAACAAAATGGCCGCGGATGTTAACTTTGTTAATTTATATAGAATACCCTGTATATTTTTACATATTTGGATAGAACGTTCCCTGCCTAGTACAGTCATATATAGTTTGTTGGGTCCATATCTAACAATAAGCGAGATAATATTAAAAAACGAAAAGAAGTTTTTTTTATTGAGAAAATAAGATATTTTGTAATTGTTGGACGTCTTTCATGCATTTCTGCCTTTTTTCCAATTACGTAAGGATTTAGATTTATTTATAATATATTTTGACATATCGAACATTGATATAGTCCAAAATGGGTATAAGTATTTTAACTAAATCTCACTAATTAGGCCGTTAGAGGCCTATTTACAATGTTTTATGGTAGGCCGTGATTTCATTTGTTTTTCTATTATAATTTTCGAAAACTTCATAAAAAATCGTGAAACTTTTGTATTTCACATTTTTTATAACTCTTAAAACAATAAAGTTAAAGGGGGGGGGGCAAAATATAGTGAATCACCCTATACAGCAGCAAGAATATTTTTTTAATTAATATTTAGTATCTATCAACATTGTATACCAAGAAATGTAATTTTGCTAAAAGTGCATCATTTTTTACTATCTATTTGTACTAAATGCACATTTTTTTAAACAAAAAACATTTTTTCGATAGCACTAACTGTCAAAGTAGGGCGATGATCATTTAAAATATAGAAAACTGGAAAATTCTTCTGCGATATTTAGTTAGAAGCAGAGACACAAAAAAAGCTAATATTGTAATAGCTGTGGTGCAGAAAATATTCATGTGGGGTGGATTTAAAACAGTGCCTGTATCTGAAAAACTAGGAGATTTTTACGAAAGTCAACTATAGTTATTCCTTAAATCCTTTGCTGGCTTGACGTGAACTTTCGGGACACCCTGTATAACTTAGCCGGGCATTTTATAACATATATTTAAATGCACATAAATATTTGCATTGTTTTGATGAACTGTGCATTGTATTACTGTTTTTTGTACTCTGCAACATTGTATACACTGGGAGATCTAACTTTGCAGAAAAATGTGCGAATAATTTGCTACGATTAAAGTGTACAATTTTCGCATTTTAGTTTCGTGAAAGGGCGACGATCAAAATAAGACTTCCGCGGATGTGAGAGTGTAAAAAAAACGCGCGTGTTTCTCGGATCCCTCTGATCTGCCCCCAATTTGCGTCACGCGTGTATGCGGTTCAAGTTACCCGCCGATGAAAAGTGCCTAGGTATGCGGTCGCACACGACACAACCGGCAATTACGTGGGATTATTAAAGGAAGTAGTTGTCATTTTTCGCCACACAGAAAAATCTGCATTATAAGGCCTGACCTTCGACTCGCGCCACGGGACACCACCAGCAATCGCGATGGGCAAAGAACGGACAGCCAAAGAAGACGGCCAGACGGCCGCTGGCAGCACGCTAGTCTTGGCGGGGGCGGCCATAGAGAACCTCAAGACCAATCTGTAGATCTGAGGTGCACCCCCGGGTGGGGCGAGGGCAAGGAGAGGGGATCTATCATTGGTGCACCGGGCTCACCAGGCCTGTCAACCGCTGACTACTGGCCGTCATATAGAGGGTAGCGGTCCGTCTGCTCACATTGAACGGTTGTGCTCTCTGCGGACATGCTCGCGCTCGTCTCTCTGTGTATCGTGGTCGTCGTGTGGTGGTTAGCTACAGCCCGCAGGGACTCCAAGAGCCTCCCGGGTCCCCGTCCGTGGCCGATCATAGGAAGCCTTCACGTACTCGGCGGCTACAAGTCACCGTTCGAGGCCTTCACCGCACTGAGCAAAGTCTACGGTGACATCTTCGGCATCAGCCTGGGGCCAGCTCAGTGCGTGGTCGTCAACAATTTCCGCCTCATCAAGGAGGTCCTCATCAACAAGGGCGGCGATTTCGGCGGCAGGCCCGACTTCCTCAGGTACCACAAGCTCTTCGGGGGAGACAGGAACAATTGTAAGTACGACATCTTCCGTTCATATTTACATAAAAAATAATAATAATAACAATGATAAAATAGTAATAAGGGAGGCGCGTTACTCTTCCTATCGAGAATTCGCATCTCCGAGGCTCTTAAGTGGCGAACTGAGCGGAGCATCGGAAATCCGCGTAATTACTGTAAAAGCGCCGGTACCGTTAAAACAACTAACAGTCCGCGTGAAAAGATACCGCGTACGGGTTCGGGTTTAAAAGGTCGAATGGGTTTTCGTCGATTACTCGCCACTTTACTTTCTATCACACGGCACCCGCCCGGTTCATTCATAAGATTACTCACTACGTACTCGACTGCCGTGAACTTGAACTTGAGATTCTAATGAAACTGAATCTGATCGGCACAGGCGACCGCCGCATTTTATCCATTCAACTAATTCCGGACCTCTCCTTTGTCGCACGTTTATTTTATTTTTTTTTTTATATGTATATACCGCGGGGTAATTAATTTTTAATCTTGATTATTGCGGCGGTCGCGCTCGTGGGTAATTACGGGGATTAACGGGTTGTGACGCGGCGGGGCACCGATTCCGTGTTTGCTGGAAATGTTACGATCGCACGATTTGTGTGCATGCCGTTTAGGCACAGGTGTATACTACGTAGCGCTCGGCCACGCGCTTCAATGGGCATCTGTTCCGCGAAGCGGTCCTGCGTGGCTTGACGCGTGCCGAGCGCGATGGACGAGCCGCGGCACAACCTTGAGACTTTGGCTGCGTTTTTTGCCCTCTAACCTGTACGTTTGTTTCAGCACTCGCCCTCTGCGACTGGTCGGCGTTGCAGAAGACGCGACGCAGCATCGCGAAAAGCTACTGCTCCCCCAGATTCACTTCGCTCCAGTACGACAGGGTGAACGAGGTCGGAGCCGACGAGCTGGAGGTGTTCCTGGCCAAGCTGCAGAAACTACCCCAGAACACGCCGATCGACATCAAGCCGTTGATTTTGGGCACCTGCGCCAACATGTTCACGCAGTACATGTGCTCGACCAGGTTCGCCTACGACGATCCCGAGTTCAGGAAGATTGTCAGGTATTTCGACGAAATATTCTGGGAAATTAACCAGGGGTACGCTGTGGACTTCCTGCCTTGGTTGCTGCCCATCTACCAGGGGCACATGAAGAAGCTGTCGCACTGGGCCGCCGAGATCCGTCAGTTCATCCTTAGTAGGATCATAGACAAGCACAGGGCCACGCTGGACATAAACTCTCCACCCAAAGACTTCACGGACGCGTTGCTGATACACTTGGAGGAAGATCCCAACATGAACTGGCAGCACATCATATTCGAACTGGAGGATTTCATCGGCGGACACTCGGCCATAGGAAATTTAGTCATGATAACCCTAGCATCCGTAGTAAAATACCCCGAGGTTGCCGAGCACATCCAGAAGGAAGTGGACGCCGTGACGAAGGGAAAGCGAAGCCCGAATCTGTTCGACAAAGCTAACATGCCCTACACAGAAGCCACGCTCTGGGAGGCACTGAGGAAAGCGTCTTCGCCGATAGTGCCCCACGTCGCCACCACGGACACCGAAATCGACGGGTACAAGATCGAGAAGGGCACCATGGTATTCTTGAACAACTACGAGCTGAACGTGGGGGAGGACTATTGGAACAACCCGGAAAAATTCATGCCAGAAAGATTCCTGACGCATTCCGGGCGAGTCACGAAACCGGGTCACTTCATCCCCTTCAGCACGGGAAAGAGGACTTGCATCGGCCAGAGGCTCGTCCAATGCTTCAGTTTTATTATCCTGGCGACCATCCTGCAACACTACGACGTAAGTGCTGGGAGTGAGATGGAAATGAAGCCGGGGTGTGTCGCCGTGCCGCCCGATTGCTTCAAACTCGTGTTAACGCCTCGGAAAACACCACCGACATCGGGTTAGTTAGAGAGATCTCTTAGTTACGCTTCCGTCCTCGCAAAATAGTCTCCGTTCTGTCTGGTAGTGGACACTGGTAGGTCCACTGTGTACTTGCCGAACGCGGAAACGCGACCAGCCGGCTGTCAGGCCTAACATCACCATTTCCCACTTACTTTGTTATCATTACTATCATGCATTGTATATATTTCATGTGAATTTAATGTAAAAATATTTTAGTAATTAATTTATCTTTAATATAGTCTCCCCAGTGTTAAGTCTATTATAATGAGACTGATTAAACTGTTTATTTTTTATTTAGCTTGAGTGTTTCACTGCCATCCTTTTGGCTCTCGTTTGTTGTTTGAAAGTCGAATAATTTGTTTTTACCGGTAATTCTCCCGACAGGCGAAGTATAGCGCCAGACAAGGTAACTTCAAGTACAATTCGAGGTTAATTATTAAATTTATTTATTACATTTATTAGAGCAATAAATAACTAAACGGTATTTAAAAACACTCCTTCGAAAAAACATGGGTGTAGCCGTGGAAAAACATTTTTTTAAACGTAAACTGCCCATAAATTAAAATTAACACCAAATTCCTTTCACATGCACGACATCACGCTCAACAACAGAGATTCCTTTACTTTGCCAGTAAATGCAAATGCTGTTAGGCAGGAAATTTCGTGATTGATATACAGGATGTCCCGATCACCGAGACCCACAGGGATCAAAATAATATGATTTAGACCAATACAATAGTCAACAACATTTTTTAATATCACTATAAAACTGTTTTATTTAGAGACTTATTATTTGATACAAGACTTTGTTTATTCCAGTGTAATATATTTATTGGATATGTGGAAAAACATACAAAATGTTATTTTTAGAGCTCCAATTCCTTTACCACCCCATAACTTTTTTTTCGACGCTTATGACCACTTGATTTACATTTTTGATACGAAATTAATTTGTTCTTGTTTTTCCACTGAAAGATACGCGGCCTTAAATATATTAAAACACAGGGTGTTCAATATTTTTTCCTATATTTTAAAATACTCTTACAATTTTTCACTCCTTCGAATATAGAAACTGAATTATCGAACACTTAATTCTGAACCTCTACCTTTATTCAAATTTTTGCAAGGGACAAAATTCTTTAGAAACCAGCTTTGTTTTAGAAAATGTAAACAAGGTAGCCATCAAAGCTTACGGCAAGGGGGTGAGGACTACAGAAAAGTGACGACGTTAAAAATGTTGTTTCCTAGTACAGCTGTGGACAAAAAAATGTTTCCTAGCTAAAACAGTTGACATAAAGTGATTTATAAAGTAATTTTTATTGAACATGGGTTTACCACTTTCAACTAAGCTTTATCAAAGTAGGCTATGACTTTCATTAACTAAGCAAATTGATCTAAATCGGCACCCTGTATGGGGTGTCCTGGTAAGTACTAAAACCCTTGTAGCTTTTATTCGATTTGAGCAATTTTCGTGTTGAAATTTAACACACAATTTTTAATAAAAAAAAAGATAAATAAACATCATTTTTATAAGAAATAAAAATGAGAAATACGAATTTTATCATTAACAAAAATTGCTACGCCTCTGTCTTCCGCAATTCTTGGTTTCTTCAAATATTACTGGTTATATATTTTTTTCTTATAATCTCCAAATGTATAAATAAGAAAAACCTACAAAACACATCTAGAATGTGATTGTTCCTTACTTTAAAATTGTTATAAAAAGCAGTAAAGATTTGCCAAATTAATTGACCAAATTTTTTATACGAAGTATACAACCATTCGCTTAAGAACGCACTTTGGAATAAAAGTTTCTTCTTTGAGGACTTTAAAAGTACTTTTGTAAAGAAGAACATCACATAAAATGACTATCCAAAATATGAAAATTGAATAACGCGTATAAGTTAAGGGAATCACCCTGTATATAATATACAAATTAGAGTATAGATACCCTTTAGTGATAAATTTTCGGGAAAACTAAATATTAAAAGTCTGAAACATGTCTAAAAAATTAAATTTTTTTATTTTAGAAAAGCAAAAATTTTTCGTATATTAACATACTTAAACTTAGGGTTTTCTGTTTAATTAGATGCAAAAATATAGGTTCTATACTATTATTCTAATTAAAGATAATGATAATCAAGAAAAAAACGTTTATAAAAGAAAACTAGCACTTGCACTATATGCGTTTTTCCGGCAATTTTTTTAAAATTATGGCGAATGCGCCAGTTTTATTGTGACCAATTTTTTTCGCGACTTTGAAGAACTAGTAAAAACATTTTAAATGCCACACACTAAGAGACATTCGCCAAAAAATATAATAAAGTTAAGGTTCTGTGATTTCAAACTATTTTTTCTTTGATGTAACAACTGAAGATGGCAGCCGATTTAAAGTAAAACGTTTTGCGAACGAAAAAATGACGATTTTGCTCCTGTTACCAAAATTTGTTTACAATTATTTTGGTACATACATTTTCTTTGTCTGCTTTACCGGCACGCGATTATACAGGGTGTTTCAGGAACGACGTAACAAACTTAAGCTTCCCATCTAACACTGATTAAAAGTAGTAATACAAAACCTATTAAGAAACTGGCATCCTACAAGCAATTAAAACAAATTTTTGCAATCGATTTCCTTTCTCATGGGATAAAATATTCGAGTGTTCTCACGACACATTTTTATTTATGCAGTAATAAGGCCGCGTGCATTATAAAAACGGCACGAAAATTTATTTCCCAGAGAGTACGACTAGTTTATTGAGAAATGCAGAAAATGTCCGTCAAGATTTATTGTACAAACTAGGATAAGGTTACACTGTGAACAGAAACCGTTATTGGCCGTTTCTCAACATGGTTTTTGTATAGTAGAAACCGATAAGTCTTTGGCTTTTGTATTAATAATGCAAAAATTTTGTTAAGATGTACGCAGTTCCTACTGTTTAAATGTGTACAGGGTGATTCACTATATTTTGACCCCCCCTTTAACTTTTTTGTTTTAAGAGTTATAAAAAAATGTGAATTACAAAAGTTGCACAATTTTTTATAAATTTTTCGAAAATGATAGTAGAAAATCAATTGAAGTCAAAACAAAATGGCCGCTGATGTTAACTTTGTTAATTTAAATGGAACACCCTGTATATTTTTACATATTTATATAGAACGTTCCTTGTCGAGCATAGCCATATAAGGTTTGTTAGGTCCATCTCTAACAATAAGCGAGATATTATTGAAAAACGAAAAGAAGGTTTTTTTATTAAGAAAATAATACATTTTGTAATTGTTAGACCTCTTTCAGGCATTTCTGCCTTTTTTCCAATTACGTAAGGATTTACAGATTTAGTTATAATTTATTTTGACATAGCGGTCATTGATATGGTCAAAAATACGTATAGTTATTTATACTAAATATCACTAGTTAGGCCGTGAGAGGACAATGTTATATGGTAAGTCGTGACAGTGACAGGTAGTAATGTCATGGTAACATTGTTATTGATTGACAGTTTGTATTATTATTTAATTAAAATAGGTTACACAGAAGTAGAAAATTCATTTCTTTTAACTAGTTTAATAAGTTTGCTGGTAACTGATGAAGGCATATTAATATTAAAATAAACATGTTTTTATTTATTTCAATGCATTTGTAGTGGTAATAGTTTATTTAATATTTACCATTTATAAAGTTTAATATTAAAATAGTCCCGAAATGTGATTTCTTTTTCGTTTATTTAATTTTGTTCCTCTTTGAAAGGTTTCAGGGAGTTGTTTAAAGCATATATGTGGTAATAGTTTTCTAATAAATTATTTGGAATAGCAATTAAGAGAAAATCCAACAAAAATGTGTACTACTTTTAATATTTTGGGTTTTTAAAAAATCGTCCAACGCTGATTAAATTTATGCTGGGCAAGGTTAAATATAATGTGAAATCAGGGACTGAAAAATATAATTAGTCTACTGAGTGCAAAAATTTAAATAATTAATTGGACAAATTTTTAATTAAAAAAAAATATATATATTATAATCGTATTTGATGTGAAAATGCGGTCTTCAAAAATTAAAAACTGATCCGTGTGTTAAGAACCAAGCTTCCGCTAGAACACGCTGTACAGGGTGATCGATTTAACTGGAGAAATAAGTTTTTCTGGGAAACGGCTGAGAAAAATAAATTATTTTAGAAACTATTGCATTTCTGATTACTTTTACTTGAAGGTAGGGTTAAAATAGAGAAATTATTTATACGACGCTAGGCGTCATGGCGCTTCAAAATTTTTTCCAGCAACATACATTTTTAATATGTCACGATAAAGATCCCTTAATTTTGAATATTTTTCCTATATAACATTTTAAAAAGTTGTTGTCGATTCCCAAATCGTACTTTGTTAATAAGACACCATCATAAAAAACTATATAAAGCTATTAAATGACACTGTAATTTAAAAACTCTGCTGTAATTCTCCAATGCTACTAAACAGTGAAAAACAATTGCCAAATTCTTATCTGTTGTGATAGTTTTTGCCACACATTTCTAATAAATGTGGTAAATTCTCTACGTTAAACTTTATTATTTTTTGAATAAATGCAAGCAGGCTAGGCAAAAAACGTATTTGTTTTCATATGACATATTCTCAATGAGAAGTGTCAGAATTTTGAAGGTTTTAATAATCATTATAGAGTTTATAGAATTAATTTTTGAAGTGTTGTGATTGTTCATTAGTAGTAGTTACTGAAAGGTAACAGTAATAAAATGTTTTCCCATGACGAAAAAGTGGATATGCTGTTAATTTTCGGAGAAGCCCAGAAAAATGCATTACGGGCAAGAAGATTATACGCACTGAGATATCCCGAAAGAAATCTTCCAAATCATCAAATATTTAGCAAATTGGAAAATGTTCTCCGTCAGAATAAGAAATCAGTTTTAGTTAACAGGGTGAGACAAAAAACAACAACCGCTGATGAAAATGTGGCAATTATATTAAACCATTTTGAAAATCATCCTGAAGCATCGATTAGAAAGGCTTCGAGAGAGTTAAATTTGACATATAATGCAATTCAAAGAGTTTTAAAAATTAACGAATTTCACGATTATAAAATACATAGTGTGCAAGAGTTAAATCCTGGAGATTTTGAACGGCGAAAAAATTTTATTTCTCAGTTCTTAGTTGCATTAGATGATGATCCTAATTTGTATAATCACATTTTGTGGACAGACTAAAGTCATTTTATTAGTCATGGCATTCCAAACCGGAAAAACACTCATCATTGGTTGGACGAAAACCAACCATTAGAGAAGTTCAAAGTG